AATTCAGTCACTTTATAGTTTATGCACTAAGGACAGCTATTCTTCTCACATAATTTTCTAGAATATTCTCAATAATCTAATCTGACACTTGAAAATGATGTGATGCAGTGTAAACCAAACTGAAAACATTGACATTCTGATTTGGATGATACAGGCCTTGCATATGAACTTTTCAAGGGTGGACTTGTTGCAGAACTGGCCCCTCCCCCCAGGGGGATGGAAGGAGAAGTAGGAGCATGCACTCTGAGCCTGGCCTGCGTGGCCCTGGATTGCCTCTGGCTTCATCAGGAATTTTAGGCACTTACTTCATCTCTCCTCCCTGTTTTCCTATCTGCAAAATGGGAATATCGAGTGCATCTCTCTGACAAGGTTGTCATCTTTACATACAGTGAACATTATGAGGAAGATGCAACCCTTTGACTCTAAAGAGTGGCATTGTGTGCCTGGCCCAGTGCAAGAGGGACACAGCCAGGGGACAGCGAGGCTCCTGGCGGCCTGCAGGCTGAGGCTGGTGGCTTCTGTAGTCTGGCCCTGTGGGGCTGCCCCCAGGAAGGTGGCCTGCCTTTGACTCCACTTTGCCTGGGACAAGGTGGGTACTAGCCTCAGGCCTTGGATCCTTTCTCTGGTAGAACCGTACAAGAAGACCTTTCCTTGTGTTGCAGTTGTATAGTTGAGTTATTCCTGCACCTTATTGATTAGTCCCTCAAGCTTCAAAGCAAGCTATGTCGACCTCATCCACTTAAGTATTTTCTTTCTCCCCCGATTTTACCTTTCATTGCTTTTCCACATGCATGCTGAGCTTTACAGGCCCATTTTGTACCCCTACTGATAAGTTGCGGGCTTTGCCCACCTTCGAGGATGACACAACAAGTACGTCGATAGACTTCTTGATGTCCAACCGTCCTTACATATTGAAATCAAATCAAATTTGTCCTGGTGTATTGTTCTTTGAATATATTGCTCACTTCAATTTGTTAATATCTTATTTACAGGTTTTAGATTTCTACCTATACATGCAATTAGCTTAGAGTTTTATAGAGTTATCCTTTTCAGTCCCAATAGAGCATTTCTACCAAACTTATAAAATGAAACGAATTGGCTTAGGAAATTAAGTACCATGCAGAAGTGCTTGGTTTTTAGCTGTTCAGGTGATCCAATCATGTTGAGATGATATGTTTATTTTCTTTGTAATCAGATAAGATTTTTAAAAATATGATTTTGGTCTGCTATTTTCCTTTAAGAAATTCCTGCCTGTGCCATGTCGCAGCACCTACTTAACTAGCACGTTGCTTTAGATTTGTTTTCCAGTTGACCCACATTGGTGTCGTGCCTCTTGCTTTCCCCATGAGAGCGCAATTCTAACAGGTATCGCTGCGCAATGTAAGGAACGTGAGGAATGGAGGTGACAGGAACCAGGGCGAGGCGGTGTCCTCCGGGCGGCTCCTTGTTCCAAAACCTCATAGTGAGCTCAGAAATGCACCTTGAGGATGAAGAGGTGCTCATCTGACCAGGTGCTCCGGGGGTCAGGAGAGGGTAGTCGTGAGGCGGGAGCCCCGAGACTGGGGGAGAGAGGAGGGAACCCACACGCTCACACGCGCTTCCTGCGAACCTCTCGAGCCCAGGCCCCGAGCCCTAGCCCTGCTCCACGTCTGCCTCCTGTGGGGTCACCTGCTGCTGCTGCTGCTGCTGCTGCTGCTGCTGCTTATGGCGATTTGTTTAGTTCTCTTCAAGGCCTGGCTATGTCCAGGACTGTGGTGTGTTTGTGTGTGTGTGTGTGTGTGTGTGTGTGTGTGTGTGTGTGTGTACTAGCACTGATCAAAATAATGATAAATGTTTAAATATTAAAATTTATTATCGTGAAGGACACACTGCCATCAGTCCCCCTCACAGCGCTCCCCTCACGTCTGGCTCATGCATCCCACCCTTGCCCTTGTCTGATGTGGTCCTGGAGGTCCTCTTCCTTGTCCCTAGCTGCCTTCATGACCACCTGAATGAAATAATTTGAAACATTTACCCTTTGCGGTCATTTTGCCCTTGGGGAGGAGCTGGAAGTCGCTGAGGGCCAGCACTGGTGAGTAGGGAGGGTGCAAACACACCTTCCCGTGTGGGCAAGCGTGCCTTCCCTGGGGCGGGCCGCTGCGCTTCCCATCACAGCTGGCAAGCTGGGAAGGAGGCTCGCCAAAGAGGACTGCAGACCTGCTTGGCAAAGGGCTAGAACGCGGGTTCTCATCGAGGGTGCGCTTTTTTTTTTTCCTCCCAATTTTTAAAAGAGTAGAAAATAGTATTAAAACAGAAAAAAATCACAAACAATACAGAATTTCACTAAACAAAATAATATGAATTTGGCAGTATTTGTCACATTGCGTAGTGCTGTCTTCATAGTAGTTGTTCAGGTTACCGGATATAGGCATGCAAAATTAGAAGAAGAAACAAAAAAAAGAGCAAAAGAAGTTATAGGAAATTAAGAAGCGTGAAAAAGAAAAACAATGAAAAAGACCAAATAAAAAAAGCATTAACTGCTCCTTTCCACGGACTAGCAGAAATCCGTACTACAAGTGTCCAAAGCCCCGTGCTTACACACAGATATAACTTTCCCCCACCCGCTCTCTTGTTCTCCTCAGCTCAGTAATTCCTTGGAAGGGAAGTATTCTGAGGGAGATTAATTGCAATGTGTCTTTTACTGTAGTTTCCAAAATTTAAACATTCACCGTATCTTTTGATCACCCTTTGTATTTTGCTATATATTTTTACATGTATAAAATACAGATTTTGTGCAATATATTATACAGTACAAAAAATATATATATATTATATATGTATGCATTTGCCTAAAAGTGAAGTTCCATGGGGCTTGGGACTTTACTTTGCTCTCTAGCATCAGTCCCTCAGAGTGGCATTTATCAAATTGTGCACCCCCCTCCCCAGAAATGGCAGTAGAATTTAAATTATTACTGCTGTTGATGCTATTGACAGGTCTTCCTAGGTCTTGGGACAGCTCTGTGGGATAAATGTTGCATGAATTTCTTGGTCAGTGCATCGGTGAATGTCCTGCTGCTGTTCCTCAACTCTCCTGTCTGCCTACAATCTCCACTTTTCAATTTGCCTTTTCCACAGAGCAGGCAGCACCCTGCTGCGCCGCACTGTATCGCCTCGTAGCCTGGTCCCCAGAACTTGCGTTTTGGTGAAGTTTTAACTTTTTTGCTGAACAAGATGGGAGGCAATAATGCTAAAGCCAAACTATGCTATTTTAATAATATCTAAGCATGTATCATAAAACACTAGATTGAGTTGGAGAACCCTACTGGTTTTCTACATGGATGACTTATTATTTGCTAAGTATAAAAGGGGTATGAGTAAATAGTGTGAGTTTTTAAAAAGTTGTCACTATCATACCGGCTCTATTTGTTTCAAGCCCTGCCTTAGACACTTCCAGACCTAGGACCTGGGCTGCACGGGGCCGTGTGGGTCATGGTCCTCCTACCGTGTGCGAGGCTCCGTCCCCCACCCATTCCCACTGTGGGTGAAGCTCCATCCCCCACCAGGCTAACCCAGCCTTCTCCAGCAACCCTGCAAGCCACACAGTTTCCCTCCCGAGTGAGACTCCAAACTCCAGAGGGGGGAAGAAAAAGAAAGAAAAGCCGAGTGACTTGCTCGAAGTAGCTCTTCTCATTGTGTCTGTGTGGTGAATCAAGTAGAATCGTGCAAGGAGCTATTATTCTTCTGAAAACATTCCGTTTGTTTCAGATACACTGCCATCAGCAACGCCAGTTAAAAAGCTCTTGTTAGAAAGAAGCCAGGGCAGTGTCCTTTATGTCGCTTTGCTTTGTTAAGGGACAAAGTTTGTCTCATGCTATCGATTAGTGATGCTACCAAAGTTCTACAAAATTACCCCAGGAGGGGAAGGGAAAGTTGTTTCTAGGATGATTAATAACTATGCAATTGTTTGGGTTTTATGGTCTTGTTTCATTTTAGTCTTCCTTTTGAGCGGTAAGCCATTCTTAGAGTTGCCTAGGTTATATAATGAACATTGCATAGCTGCCTATCATGTACTTAAAAATTAATTCCCTTTTGGTGAGTCATTGACATATTTCCATTTTCTTTCGATATCTCAATCCCAGAGTGTGCTTCACCCAGTTTAATGCTGAAATTAACAAATGCTTAAAATAGCCTTAGACTGCAGGTCAAACTAAATTTCTTCCATGGCTTGCACTGTCTAGCATGCCCTAGTAGCTGCCTTTTGTGCAAGAGAGAGAACAACAACTAGATCCAAGCAACCATTCCAACAGATGAACTTTGCTGTACGCAGACGCCCTTTGTTTTGTGCTCTGAAGAGCAAGCTGCTGTACCAGTGCTTTTGGCAGTGGTACAAGACCGGATCCATGGAAGCATGTGTGTATTTACACAAAAGAGGCTTCTAAGCTACAAAACTCCCTCCTGTTTGGTTACACTAATTTCCCCTGAATGAAGTTTGTATGCCAGCCAAAACAATGGTAGTTATCTGGCTCTCCAGAGCTCATTCCCGAAAGAATGAGGTGGATGATTGAGCACTTCCTAGACACCCCAGCAGCCTGCTATTTTTATTTCTCACCCCGTCATTTCAATTCTTCAACTCTTAAAAGATACCAGAATATTGGTAATTGGAGGTTTTGCTAATATCTTAATCCATTCCTCTGTATTTTCCCATCTCTTCTCATTTTCTGATCTATTTAAACCTGACGTGGTGGTTAAGCTAAGCATCCCATTGTGGCTTTCAAAGTATTTCAGGTGTGCGAGGCAAATGGAAGCAGCTCAACAATATAATTAAGGGGATACAGGGAGAAATGAAAAACTGACATTGAATTCGAGAGTTTGGGCCAAAGGCCAAAACCGGGCTTCTCTGGTGAATGCCTAAAACAACAAATGCATTTGTTTTGTCAGTAGATGGCTCTGTTCTACACAGAGTCAGTCCAGGGTAAATGCTGAGGAGGACTGTGGAGGAGACAGAGCTCACAGCTCCTTAC